TATAGATATAGATATAGATATAGATATAGATATAGATATAGATATAGATATAGATCGATTCTCATCGATCTTTGAACTGATCAATCTTTAACATGAACCTTAACATGCAGTTAGTTTGACAAGTGCCTTTCATGCTTATCCATTGCAGGTGGTGCTGTCGGCCTGCTCCTCGTATTTCCAGAGCCTGTTTCTGCAGCACTCCGATCCACATCCAATTGTGATACTGAAGGACGTCCGTTTTGCCGAGCTGCAAACTCTAGTTGAATTCATGTACAAGGGCGAGGTGAACGTGCAATATTGTCAGTTGCCAGCGCTGCTCAAGACAGCCGAATCACTCAAGGTAAGTGGATGCAATGCGACTTTGCTTCGAAGCTTCGGACTCTAACTGAACTCTCTTTGGCTCTCTTAGGTTAAGGGCCTAGCCGAGATGACAAATCAGAATACGACGCTGCGGGAGCCCGAGCGGGAGCCGGATCGCCTGCGTCCCCATTCGCAGGCCAGCGGCGGCAGCGCCGGCGCCAGCAAAGCGGCCGACAGTCCACTGGACGCAGCAGCGGCGGCAGCAGCGTCAGCAGCGTCAGCTCCCAGCTCTTCAACAGCCACGACAGCAGCAGCAGCAGCAGCAGCAGCAGCAGCAGCAACAGTGACAGCAGCTGCAACGACAACAACAACATCAGCAGCAGCAGCAGCGGCGGATAATATAGCGACAACAGCTGCTGGCAGCAGTAAAACAGCAGCAACAGAAACGACAACAGCAGCGACAACAACAGCAACAAGCACAGCAACAGCAACAACAACAGCAGCAGCAGCAGCAGCAGCAGCAGCAACAACAACGTCAGCGTCAGCTGAGGCGTCAGCAGCGACGTCCACGGCGTCGAAACGTGAGGCAAGCGCACGCTGCAGTCCGACGCCGCCGCCGCCCAAGCGGCCAGCGAGCAGCAGCACGGCAGCCATTGAGCTGCTGGAGGATGAGGACGAGGATGACGATGATGAGGCGGAGGAGCTGCTGGAGGAGGAGGACGATGAGCTGCTCGAGGAGCTGGAGGAGGAGGAGGAGGATGCATCAATGCCGCTAGATCTCTATCAAAGACCCGCCGCCGTCGCTGTCACAGCTGCGTCCGCTGAGCCACATGCCATGCCGCCAGAGAGCTCAACGAGCAGCAGCCACAACAACAACAGCAACAACAACAACAACAACAGCAGCAGCAACAACAACAATAATAACAGCAGCAGCAGCAGCAATAACAACAACAACAACAGCAGCAGCAGCAGCAATAACAATAATAACAACAACAACAGCAGCAGCAACAACACCAACACTAACGCCAACACTAGCAGCAACAACAACAACAACAACAGCAGCAGCAGCAACAACCAAATGAAAGCCACATGCTCCTCCTCAACGATCGCCTCGCCCAGCGGCAGCAACGGCAACGATTGCCGTGGAAGCGGCACGCCGGAGCCGAGCAGCCGTGTCGTCGTGGCCGTTGACATCGATGACGACGATGAGGACGAGCTGGACGATCACGACATGACCGATGTGGATGACCATGTCATCGTGGTGCATCGGACTGCAGCAGCAGCCGCGGCAGCCGCAGCGCGCGACATTGCGCAACGAATCGCGCATCACAGCGCGCGGCGGGCACAGAACGCGAACGATGAGGATGACGACGATGATTATGATGATGAGGACGATGATCGGCATGAGCCAGCATCGTCGACGGCAGCCGCAGCAGCAGCAGCGGTAGCAGCAGCCGCAGCGGCCGCCGTAGCAGCGCATGAATCGCAGCTGCACTCGCCCAGCGCTGACGGCGAACTGCAGCCGAAGAAGGAGGTGATCGACGACGACTACGACGACGAGATGGATCTGGATGACGACGACGAGGCGGACAACAGCAGCAACGAGATGGGCCTCAACATGAAGATGAGCAGCGGCGGTGTCGATCTCTCCACGGGCTCAACCGTTATACCATCACCGCTAATCTCGATGCCCTCGTCGTCGTCCGCCGCCGCAGCAGCCGCAGCAGCAGCCGCCGCCGCTGCCATGGAATCAGCTCGCTCCACACCAGGCGGCGGTGGCGGTGGCGGTGGCGGTGCCGGCGGCAATGCCGTCGCCTCCGATCTAAGTCTGTCAATGTCGCAATCCGGACGCCCCTCGTCGCGTTCATCGCGCGACGGCAGCAGCGCCGCTGCCGACGGACGCTCCAGCAGCCTATTGAATCCCGGCAACGTGTCCGGTCTCTTGCCAGTGCAATCGGTGCCATTGGTAAGTCTCTAATCGATAACGATATACCATAGATTCGCTCAAGTCTTATGGCTTTGAATGACGCCAGTCCGCTTGAAGCTTCAGGGCTTGGCAGTGAGGGAAAGTCGGAAAATTTCCGGCGTATATATGAAAACGAGGGCAGAAGGAGAATGAGGCATAGGATAGGAAGGGATAGATGCATATGCATAGATTAGATTAGTTAAGGCTGATATTCTTGTCGATAACTATGTTCCAGTAGTTAAGGA